CCTTGGAGATGTTTTCCAACCTTAATAATTCTGTGATCACCCTTTGTATTAAGCAAGAATCTATATCAGTAATCACTCTTTGTTTTTGGGGACAACTAAAACAGTTTGTGTGTATAAATCTGTCACACCAGGGAATGTGTGGGGTGTGACAAAGACAGCTCCAGGCCCAAAAGGCACAGACTGATGGCAAATTTCGGCTATCTGCAGGTGTAAACAGTAAAAACCCAGATAAAGAATCACTTGGAAAATGATTTATACTTCATAAAACAGCATATTTGGACAGCATAGAGTGTTTTTAGTAGGACAACTCTCCTAGCAGCTGGGAAGGTTTAACTGGGAGATTGTTTAAGGCATTAAAATCCTCTTTGTTTAACTCTCTGCAGATGCTCCCAGTGCTCAGGGGGGCTCGTGCTGCTCTCGGAGGTTCAGGCGTTGGGGCGGGTGGGAATTCTGTCTGGGAAATGGCAAAGGATGTCAATCTAAACTTCAGCAGCTCTCATCCCATAGTGAAGTCAGTTCTAGAAAACAACAAAGGGCATAAAATTACAGAAGAGCAGCATTAATAATTAAAAAAAATATTTCAGTGACTAAAATTGAAAAAAAAATATAAAAATTTAAACTGAGCTAGACAAAGAAAGTAAGATTTTCCTTTAATAACCCCATCTTAGATATTGATTGCTATTTTTCTTACAAGAGTTTTGCCAGCTATCTGAAAGGAACTGTCCTTTGAGCATAAAACCAGTAGAGACCAATTAAATCACAGAACATCCTCCAGTAACTTACATTGGACAGCCAGAACTAAAATATTTTTAGTGCAGCTTAGGAAGTCAGAGCATTCTGAAATTTCATACTCTGTTTGATCTTTCTGCAGATAAATGTGGAAGGCTCAGAAGAACTGGCATTTATTTGAAAAATTGCTTTTTATATCCAGCAATAAAATATGCAAATATATAAAGTCTTTCCCTACCCCGTGTTTAAGTTATCTGAACCAGTTCTCCATGTATTTCTTTAGATTTTAAGTCAATTTTAATTAAACGTTTCACATCTCACGAAATCAAGAGAGACGTCTCAAAACTTCAGTCAAATATTTGAAGATAAATTTCACAGAAATACAAAACTGAAACTTGAATAAGTTACTTTTCCTGTCAAAGAAGCTTTAGGCACCAAGTTACTTAGAATCTTTAAAATATTCCTAGATTATGATGTTGCACAGAGTGTCCAAATTCTTTGACAGTGTTAGCAAGTAAAAATCAGAAACATTGATTGTTTAAGGCAGCTTCCATAATACATTTGGACAAAAATGGCTTTATTTTTTTTTTAAGTGTGTTACAGGGGCATTTCAGTCACATTTTTTAGGTCTGCAGCTGTCTGTCAAGGCTCCAGTGTCCCTTTCTGTGCTTTTGAGGGGTCAGTCAGAGTAAACCCTGAGCAGAGAATATCAACTGTACTCCAGATTAACCCACTTCTGGTCACTTTATAATTTGAACAGACTCAAGGAATTTATAATTTGACTCTCACTGAAGAAACAAAGCTAAATATTGGATAATAATAATAATAATAGTAATAATCTAACCAATTCTACAGGAGCAGCAGCAAATGCTAAACGCCTCCCTGGCACGGGTGGCTCTGGGTGTGACACTGTTAGTGGCTGATTTTTCTGCTGTTGTCCAACTCTAAATCCAGACTCTGCAAGTTTATGTGGATAAATTCTTTCTTCTTTCTGACATTTGAAGAATTGTTCTACTGTGTTCTTTCCTGAGCTTTATTCTGCTCTGCACAATGTTTATTCTGTCAGCTGCAGTCTGAGAATCTCATGGGTCCCCTCCTCTCCCTCCTGAAATACCAGCCTCCTCTCAACCCTTTTTTACTCTCCCTCCTCTCTGCAGTCTCTTGAATTCTCAACTTTTAACTTCCATTTCTAAAATTCCTGCAATTCCTCTCCTCCATTCCTCCCCATTTCTCAAGAGCCCAGTCAACTGCCAGTGCAAAAAAGAAAAAAAAAAACCACTTATTTCTTTCTTTACAGTGCTGCAAAGTCTCAGCTCTGCCTGCACATCACAAAGGTCCTCTTATCTCCCCAGTTCTGTGCTGTCAGCACATAGCAGGAAATCTGAGCAATGTGAGCAAGCCTCAGATCTCCATCACAAGCTGCTCCGTGTCCTTTGCTGCTGCTTGGCTCTCAAACTAAAGTTCCCAGCCCAAGGGCACGGCAGCTGTTGTACTTTTAGGCTTCTGTCCCTTCTGTAAGTTACTTTTTCTGTCAGAGGAAGCTTTAGGCACCAAGTAACTTGGAATCTCTAAAATATTCTTAGATTATGGCATTGCACAGTGCCCACATTCAGACCCTGCCTGGTTTGTCCCCCACATCAGCAGGGGATTCAGAGGAGCAGCAGCTCCCAGCCCTCTTTGTGCACCCCTCCTTCCAGCCTGAAGCAGCTGCTGCACCCCAGGATGGCAAATTCCCAGAGCTTTCCCTTTCCTGCCTGCCCAGTCTGAGCAGGCTCATTAAGAGTCTGCACAGGCAGCTGCTGTGTGAGAACAGACAATATCCAGGCAAAAAAACTCCTGAAGGGCTCGGTTTCATTACCAATGCTGTCCAGGAATTAGCTGGAGTTCTTAGTCTTGTGCTTTAGAAAATGTGGACAGGTTTTCATGGGGGCAGCAAAGGCAGGCAAGTGCTAAAGTCCATTGAGTCTAGTTTCTGCAGCAAAGTCTAAGTTTTCCAAAAATCAAAGGCTCGATAGAATGAAGGGAAACTGAAATCAACCCCGAAAATATCCCCCAAAATAAAAATCCCACAATAATATACTGCTTCCTTAGGTTAACTCTCAACTGCTTTGGCTGGAATAATCAAATAAACTGGAACGCAGCATCACAGGGATTCTGGCTCGGTGTGGGTGTGTGTCTGAGAATCTAGAAAAGCCATGCAGAATGGAAAAATTCACATAGCTGCTTGGCAAAGCTGGGAGCTAGTGAGAACTGCTTGTTACTAAGAAAAGTATCAGAAAACCTTAATGAGGGCCCCGCTGCCATCCCCACTCCAAATGTTTGTGCTGTTGAGGCAGCCAGCAAAGAACCTCAGCCTGATGGGGCTCGGTGAAATAGTGCAGGACTTCAGCTCCTGGGAAATGGAACCCTGCTCTCATCCCAAATGGGGTTTTGGGGAAAAAACCCCAAACCCTGAACCCCCTGCACAATCTCTGATGTATTTCTGTGCCTTTATTTGCATTGTCTTTTCCCAAAAAGCTCTCTGCAGCAGGACTGGACACGCCAGGGGAGGCATGGGTGATTCTGTGGTGCCACATCTCTGCTGCCTTGCAGAGGCTGCTCATGGCCCTCAGGAGAGCAGTTCAGCTGCAAATCCCTGCTTCCAAATGCATTTTCATTCTCAGGAAAAAGCTGATGGTGATGCTTTTGTTGATAAGAAAATCAGGAGACTTTTCCCAAATGTTTAAAGTTCTGCCACAGTAGAAATGACAGTGAGGGAAGTGCCTTGGGAAGTGAAGCATTGTGAGGATTTTTCTGGGGTCACAGAGGTTTGTGTTGTTGGAAGGACAAGGAACTGCAAGCTGATCACAAAAGTACAACTGAAAAAAAAACAAAAAAAACCAACAGCAACCCAGAGGGATAAAATTGAACATCCCAAAGCACTACTTTATCTGTTCCACGTGAGCCTGAGAAATCTTGAGGATATCCTGTGCTTCAGTCTTAAAATAAAAGCCCCAGTGCCAGTCGCTCCCGAGAATAAGGTAACTCAGTAAATCAAGGCAACTCAAGCTCAGTATTTTATACCCAAGGGGTGTTAGACTGAGGAAGGATAGAAATTGAGTCTGTCCTTTATCCAAGTGGAATTGTGAGCAAAACTCACACTTTCACTGCAGCTTTTAAGATGATATTTGTCTTTAATCAACTTTAATAAGAAAACAGGGGAAAACAGCTTCAGAAACACCAACCCCCAAAACATTCTGGTTTCAAAAATTAATGGGGAATATTCAGTAGGATATGCATTTCCCCTATAAAGCATGGTACAGACAGTTGGAATAAAAATCCCTCATTCCACTTTCATTACTGAGGCAGAAAAGCAAAGCAAATGGGAATGGCTCTGTAACCATAGCAACATTTGCCATTATTATTTTTTCAAAGAATTTCTGAGGCTCTACAATTTGAATTCGGCATTCTGAGGATAAAGTTTGTATCAAGGAAAAGAATGGAAGAACTTTATTTGGTTGCAGGCCCTAATGGCAACTTATAAATTTGGTTTTTTTCCTCCTAAAGAGTAGTTTAAAAGAGAAGTCACATGTAAACAGTAATGAATATAATTTCTTTTCATTTTCTAAATACAGTGTAATATGTATGTAACTCTCAGGAGATAGGGTGTGGAAATTATGACTCCATGAAAACATGCTAATTGAGAATGGTCAATTAAAGGGAATTTCCAATAATGGCAGGAAGTGTGAAAAAATAATTATGGTTTCCATACAGAATATATTTTTCATAATCCTGAATATAAATTTCCTGGGTGCTGTTGCTTGGGTCAAATACAAGATTCTTTCTTTCTTTCTCCTCCTCAGTGGGCACATTTAATCTCATCTTGCATTTATTATGAATAATTGTACTCACAATAACTTAGAAGCACAGCCAGCTATTTGAGAAGGAGCTGGAATAAATGTAAAAGTAATCATTCTTAAAATGCTATGGAGACACATAAAAAAAAAAAGAAAGGAAAACAAACTAAAAAACCCAAAACCACTATGAATAAGAGTCAGGAAAGACATTTAACAGAACCAGAAGAAAAACCACAATTGGAACATGACTTATTTGTGATACTTTATTCCATGGCAGGTGTCAGCAGGAACAGCACTTCCTGTGCTCCATTTCAATGGGAAGGTTGACACTTAAAAATGTATTTCAATCAAATCACGATTGATTTAATGAACATTAATCAGATGCAGACGACTGTGCCAAAATATTAACTTGTTAATTGGAGTAATTCACTGCAGGCAGGAAAGCCACCTCATCTTCAAACGACCTGCTAGGAAACACCGCTGACCGGAGAATTAACTCTGCCCAGGACTGAAGCCACAGAGCTGCAGACTGCAAGGGGGACAAGGCACCAGGTAATAATGCCTCCACCTCCAATCTCTTCTTCATCTTTCTCTTTTGTGCCTGCTCCAAACATAAATAACTCCTTGATGGGTAGACACAGCAAGCTATTAGGTCTATTGTGCTAATGATCTGCAAATTAAACTGCAGCAAACCCAAAGCCTCCATGCTGAAGTTGTTAAGACCTTCTCTGTCAATAACCTGCAGAAAATGAATTACACAATTATACCTCAGTGCAAACTGTAATGACTACAAATTACACCAGTAATTGTATTATACAGCAAAGTGATTTGATTCATTGCTTACAAGGCATAATTAATAAGCTGAAATGAGATTATCTCTATATTCTATCTTTAGAGTCTATTTTTTCCAAGGAGTAATTTGTGAGGGTTTTTTTTTTGCCCAACATCTCGTTGCTCTGACTGTCAGAAATATTTAATGTGTTTTTTTGGGTGAAAGTCATAGAGCATCATCTTAAATTACTGAGGTAACTCTGGTAGGGTCTGTAAAGAATCAGGAGGCATCACCGCTCTCTGGAGATGAAATAGAGAGATAAACAGAGATAAATAGAAGGCAATCTTGTATGCAGAGAGCTCTTTGAGGGTATCTGTTGATGAGCAAGGGCAGGGAAATGACTAAGGCAGATTGCATTTGCATTTCTGTTAGATGACAGTTCATTTTCATTTCATTGATTGTTTGTAAGTTAGGATAACAAAACAGCCTTTATTATTTCCCAGGGGAAAGAGAATTAGAAGGAAAGATTTGGGAGCACTATTGCACAAGAAATGCAAACCAGAAAGAGACAGAAAAATACCTTAGCTCAGGACTGTGGGAAACGTGTTAAAGGTTCCTGATGATGACATTAACAGCACTCCCCCAAACCCTTCATGTTCTTGCCAGTGTTTTTCTTTAAAAGTCTGCTTTATTAGGATGCAATTTAAATACCAAGAGGTGATGAACTGAGGATGACAAAGGGGTAACATATCAATGCTCTCACCCTGTCCCAGTGAGCACCTCTATTCATTTCAATCAGGGATTTAATTGAGATTTTGTTGTTTAAATAAATGGGCTTCATTTTATAAATCTACGCTGTTCTGCTTATTACAGAAGTTTTTCTAGAAGGTTTCAGCTTGAGCTTTCTGTTCTTAAGGGCAATATTAAATAGCAGAGCTGCCATGGAATGCAGTTTATCCTCCTGCTGCAGCCAAATGAAGGAAATTTAGGAGCTCCAGAACCTGCCTGAGAAGATAAGGCTCATAGAAACAAAAGCTTTAAGAGTTCTCTGGCTGCTGTTTTGCTGAAAAGTAAAAAGCCTATTAATTTATTATTAGAATAATCTCCTTAATCAAAATGCTGACTCAGCTTGTTATGTATTAGCTGATTCTAATGAAGACTATGAAAATCAGGAAAGCAGCCAGAACAGCAATCAACTCCATTTTGCAATAAACTAAAGAACACCTGGTACTTTGCAACTTTGTCCTTTGATAATCTGGAAAACCAATTTTCAGCATCTAAACTAGTATGCTGGTCACCAGCAGAAGCTATTTAGTTTGTTTTTCCTTGTCCTGTGCTTTGGAAACATTAAGAAATCTATATTAAAATGTTAATATGAAATTCCAGTGAAAAGGCTGAATTTCTGAATGCTTGTATTTTTCCATAACAGTCTCTGCAGTTGCACTCAAACAGAGAGAATAATCTGAATGTCAAATATTTGACAAGTCAATTTGAGCAGAAGTAGGTAACTGTGGAGCCAGGAATTATTTTCAGTAATTGATAGCACTTTATATCATGAAAATTACATACAAAAAACATCATTTTCAGCCCAAGAACAAGGCTTGATAAACCCTTAATTTTATTAAGGATTCTTTCTTCTCCCCTCACATCTTTATCTTTAAAATTCCTTACTGCTGTCAGTTGTATTTGCTGTCACTGTGTTCAGAGATTTTCCTTTATTCTCCCAAAAACAGATAGCCAGGTTAACTTCAGTCACCAAACACAAGAGATTGAAAAATTCCAACTATTTCATTATGGACAAACAGAAACATCTTGGTGATTTAGAAGAGGAAGTCCCTTTACCCTACAGTAAATCAAGCTTGTGGACACATTAATAGAAACTTGGAAGGGAAGAAAACTTTTAAGTGCAAATTTGTTTTATGGTTTATTAAAATTATTGATTAAGTGTGGGGAATGTGTTCTCAATGAAAATTACATCATGAGTGCCTGTGAGTTCTCTGTCAGAGCAAAATCCTCACAGGACACACAATTCCCCCATTCCTAAACAGGCCCAGGCAATCTCCCTGACCTGATCAGTCCCAAATCTGTTTATCTGGGGACAGCAGGAAATGCTCAGCCACGGGACTGAGCACACACTGGTTACTCCAGGAAACAAAATCTTCCACCCACTCTGCAGGGTTCGCTGTCCAAGGTACTGATCTTAGAAAGCAGCATTGAAATTTTAAGTAGGACTCACAAAAGGCCCTTTAAGATCTGTCCAAGGTACTGATTTTTTAGAAAGCAGCTTGGAATTTTAAAAAGGAACCACAAAAAGCCCTTTAAGATCTCCACCCAAAACTTTTCTTTTCTCTCAAAAGCAGCATCACCATTTAGTGTATTTTATACGCTGGTTTTTGCAGGACTCTGTTCAGATGAAAAGGCTGAAGTCAGTGCAGTTTTTACCCCTAAATTAATCTGATGTTCTCTCAGGTCTGATTTTTGACAGCAATGTGAGAAACCAAACAAAGTACAACCAACCAAAATCCACCCAAAGCCCAAAACCCTGCCTGGAGTGGCTCCTTCCTCCCAGGAGGCTGCACAGCAGTAATTGGCACAGCAAAAGCTCTGCTCCATTCAAATTTCTTCTCTTATGAAACAGAGATGAGAATACCTTTGAACATAATTCAAATAATTGACTGTCTGCATCTATTTTTGTTGATATATGTCAACCAACGGAGCTGTAAGTTAGCTAAAGCAATTCTAAAAAAGAAAAGAATTCTATTCAGAGCAGCTCAGTGCATGAAGTAATTCTTTTTATGCACGCTACCTCAGAAGTATTGTTTTCTATTTCAAAACAGTGCAGGTACCCTACAACACAAAACGAAAACCAAGAAAATACAACTGCAAGAAAGGTATATTGCAGGCACTGTGACATGCAATTATACATGCTACTACTTTTCAGCTTCCAGTTTTAGACTAATGAAAAATCAAAGTTCACTGAATTACGCTGAAAAGACTTCTAGGTTGAAATTCAATTGAATGATCCACGAGGTAATTCTTTTTCAGAGCTGCGTAAACAGGAGTGTAACCAGCAGGGTGTGGGACTGTTGAAGCAGGGAAAGTCAGCAGTCCTGAATCCCAGGCCAGGGTCCTGCTTAAACTGGGATTTCTGTGGGAGCAGCCAGGTATTCCCAAGTGCAGTGCAGGTGTCTTTCAGTAGGAAAAACTTCACATTATTTTACTTTTCGTTGTGAAATCAGCAAGAATTCTGGTGTACTCATCAGCACAGAGAGATCCTGTCTGTTTGAGGCCCTGGCACAGATTCCCAGAGCAGCTGGGGCTGCCCCTGGATCCCTGGAATGTTCTAGGCCAGGCTGGGCAGAGCGTGGAGCAGCCTGGGACAGTGGAAGGTGTCCCTGCCATGGCAGGGGTGGCACTGGATGGGCTTTAAAGTCCCTTCAACCCAAAGCATTCTATGAGTCTTCATTTTTGACATCCAGTGATGGAAATACTGCAGCTTTTCCCACTCCCTTGTTCTTAATTTCCAGGTTTTGGATTGAATTCTACAAGCCTTAGGTAACTCCAGCCTATTCTAATGCATTTAATTTGTAATAGTTCAGCCACTGTGGTTGTTTATTCCTGAACCTCCAATAAGTCTCAAGTTTTCTGGTACTTCAGGGTCACAAAAACAACACAATGAAGCCATCACCACCCAACATCCCTCTCTAGAGGCAGACATGGAGGTCCATATTTTCTGCTCTCTTCCCTGTGAACACACCATTCCTTGAGCATAAAATGCCCCCACCACAGCTAATGCAGCTCCAGCTTTTTTTCCCCTCCTTCGTTTTGTTCATTATTCTTTCAACAGTTGAAAAGAGTGAACAAAATCAATACAAAAATATATTACACCAGCACTAAACACTGGTCAGCTACTTGCACTGATTAGGCAAAACTTGATACAGTTGAATTTGAGTTTCACCGGGAATCTAAAACTTAAATGGATGGTAAATTGTGGTGATGCATGCTTTATTTTTACTTGTTTGCAAAAAAAAAGGCCATAACTTTATCAAACATTATGAACACTTTCACTGCTGACAACCCTCTTCAAACATCAACTACTGTAATTTCCCCCACATTTACATAATACTGGCTGATTAAGCTGACAGAGTTTTCTTTGCTGCTTGCTGCAGAAATCAAAAATAAAAACACAGTGTTAGCAATGGTTCCCCTCCTAAGATGTTCACATTGGAGAGTAAGAAAGAGTAAAAAGACTAATCTGAAACAGATAGGGGAGTATTCTCAATTATTAACCCCCTCATCCTAGCAGAATTTAGGGGCTGCAGCCCTGCCTGAAGAGAAGCACTGGATTCCCTCTTCCCTCACTAAATTACAGCCTCTCACCCTGATCATTTATTTCTCAGAGGAGCTACAAAGCCTCGAGGCCTGAATTGTCTGGCTGTCACATGAACACAGCTCTCCCCTGGGTTATATAATATAAAATTATATTATTATTCCCATGTGTTAGTTCATGTGATATTTTCCTTGTATTCCCCTGTGTTATTTCAGTGTATTCCCATGTGTTATTTCATTTATCATTTTCGATGTATTCCCATGTATGTTATTTCCTGTGTTATTTTCATTCCCATTTGTATTCCCCTGTGTTATTTCAATGTAGTCCCATGTGTTATTTCATTTATCATTTTCAATGTATTCCCATGTATGTTATTTCATGTGTTAATTTCAGTGTATTCCCCTGTGTTATTTTATTTATTCTTTTCAATGTATTCCCTTGTGTTATTTC